CCTCTTAGTTTACTTGCTTAGTTTCACTCAAATCCTGGATGCCTATTGGATCATGATTATGTAATAATTAATGCTATTCGATGCCAATGACACTCAACAATTGATCTAACATAAGCTTATATTTGCTGTTTGACATAACTTTGGACTACACTAAACACATAAAAAATCTCTGTCCTAAGGAATTTGTTGGTTTCTGACTCTGGGAAAGTGGCCCCAAAACTACTGTATCTCTGAACTATCTGTTCAACGAAATCATACACATTTCGGCTGTTCTATGTGATCTCCGGTTCCATAACTCAATATTTTTTCACTTCCATTCACTGACCCTTCCCTGAACCTGTATGTAGCCCCCCTCAGGTAGCCTGCCTCCCACTTTGAAAACCTCTGCCATAGATGAATTTAGACCAAAGTGCAGGTGAAGATGTTTCTGTCATGTAAATCCTCCCACCCCAGATATTTAACAAGATCTTTAAGCATATCCTTAGACATCAATTTGCAGTCTACTGGCAGTATTTTTAGTATATTTTCAAGCCCGATACACATACCACAACCCCTCATAAACATAAACAAATTTAGGGCACTTTGTCCATAACCCTTTGACCCTTGCTTCTTCTTCCCTTAATCAAAAGACAGCAGTTTTTTTTTAGCTTGACCTGATACAGAGCTTAACTGTAATCAGTGGATCATTCAACAAAGTCATCCCTGAGTGAGTAGTCACTTGCGAACTAACGTACGGCGTTTGAGGAGTGGAGTCACTTCTGCTGTTTTGTAGCTGCCATCCCCAAAGAACTGAAAGGGCTCATACTGGTCGGCTTAGCATGTAAATGTATATTCAGGGTTCAGCAGCTACAGCCTCCAGTTAGTGGGTGAAAACAGTGTGAAATAGAAGTGTTTATCCTTTTAGATAAACCGAGCTCAGGGCTTACATACTGAATTTCACAGTAGCATGGGTTATTGTGCTAATCAGTCTTCTAAATCCTGGTTATTGCAGGCCCTGCTCTAGAGACAGGCTTTCTACAACTGTAGGTTCATAAAATATTTCTTAACCTAAATTCTAGTTCTAACCTTTACCTGCTCAATGTAATTTTAATCCTCGAGTCATGTAGAATAATCATAATAATAATCCTGCTTCACACAAAAAACTAAATCATTTGCAAACCGGGCTAAAATTTGAACTTTTCTCTAAGGACATTCATATACTTCCGCTTCACACCTCCTCACCTACATATTCCCACATGGCCCCCTTCCCCTGTACTTGTTGCTTAGCAACTCCCTCCACAATACCTGCCACTACCACAAGTGCTGCTCTACCCCTCTCCAGATGAACCCCCACGTTTCTCACATTTAACACCTACAGGTCCCTGATTTTTAAATAAAGCCCTCTGGCCATTAGCTCTGGTCCAGTGCTGCTGTGAAATTGTTAACAAGTTCTTAAACCGAGGGATGCACGATATATGTGAGCCAATAAATTAGCGGCAGATTAAGGGAAATTTGTACTTTTGTATTATTCTGATAAATACCGGTCGTTAACAATAATAATTTATTTTGAATTCTTGTGTAAAATGTTTGATGGCTTTAATGTCTTCAAGCCAAAGTATGAACTTTACTAGAAGAAATACATGAACATTTGAACTTTCTTTGTTTGTTTTTGTTGTTAGATTTGGTCAGATCAGAGCAATGGAATATTACATCATTAATCTTTGCTCACTACTTAGCCTTTCTTACCCTGGTGTACATAAACTACAGGTTATTAACTTCTACATTCAAAAATGTGAAAAATCTTATTGGTATCAGCCATGAGAGACAGGTAATTATCAGATATCTGTTAAAAAAATCCATCTCTACTTAAAATTAAGTCAGGACCTTGGATATTCTTGGGCCAAAACATGAGGTCAGCATCAGTCTGTGTTTGTCTGAGACAGGGAAAGACTAACACCAGGGCTGTTCAGGATAAATCTGAGCTCTAGCGAAGCAGGATGACAGTTTGAGAGGGAGAAACTCTGACTGCCAGCATCCCTGCCAACTTGCAGATGAGTGCTCATGACTGAGGATTTGCGCTGGCTGAGATAAGGAGGGAGCTCACAGAAAGCATACGGGAAAAAATAGAGTGTAAAGTAAGGGTAGACACTGAGGGACAGTGAGAGAGGAAACAAAGAAATGAAGACAGGAAAGAGATTAAAGCGAAAAAATAGAGTCGAGGTGTGAATGAAAACTATGAAGGGAATTAACTCTGGTTAAGAACCCAGAAGGATTAGGATGAATAAACCCAAAAATGCTGGAGAGAATTTAGGAATAAAGACAGACACTGACAGCAAGGAATACAGAGAGATAAAGTCATAAAGAGCTACGCTGGCAGTCAGGCATTTGAGGAGCCTCAGCTACCCCAGATAAAATGAAAACCTATAATTTTTTATTTTAGCACGAATGTTTTTGTGAGTAAATAATCCATATTGTCCTGTCTGATGGGATTCAAAGCAGAAAAATGGAAGCACAAACACTAAAGCGCAGTTTACAGTTTGAAATTACCCCACTCGTGGCAGTTGTTTGTTGAGTGTTTTTGCACTTAAAACGGGGGTTAATATTAGTGCAAACCCAACCCATGTTGAGTGATTGTACAAACTGTTACTGCCGTACTGCTGGGACATGCAGAATAAACCTCAAGCAACATAAATGTATTTTCTCCTGATCTGTATTTTTTGTTTATACATTTTGCATAGTGCTGTATGTCAAAGGATCACTCCGGTTTCTTACAACTTGGATCTTATTTTCTACATTCTGGCCAGTGGTTCTGTCTGGTATAATAACAGTGTACACTGAGATCTGGGAGAGTCCATAATAAAAGAAGTCAGACAGAGGAAAAAACAGAAGTGGTAAAACAATCAGATTTTAAACCAACCTCCAGGTTAACCAAATGGATGGTGAAACTATGCCTGGTAAACATGAGTAGTTGCCATAGTTGAGTGTTTTCCCATGCAAGGTGAGATATGACATTTTATATCTGGCTTAAGTGTTTTTTCGAACGTGTCTGATCGCCTCACCACTCTTTTTTCTGCTTCATTTCCAGATCTCAGCAATTCATTAAAATAACAAGGAGCTATAAAAATAAGACCTAGGTCATAATAAACTGGAGTTATCTATTAAAATGTCAGAACTTAACTTCATTCAAAGTTTTCCAACTCAACTTTTTTGACTAACTGACTCTGGATTTAATGGGTAATTGCTGGTAACTGTCAGTACATCACTTTGCCTATTTCTCCATGTGTTATTACCAGGAATTTGCGCTTCTGTTTCCACTGTGTGCCCTGAGCATTGGTGTGTCGGTGGGCTTCCGTCACCAGGTGGATCAGCTCCCACTCGTCCCCGGTGGGTTCTGGACGGTTCTGGAGGGTTTTGACCATTTCCTCCTTCTTGCGTCGCTCCCTGTTCTCCTCGATCAGGCGTCGTTTAGCCACCCGCTTTGAGTCATCCAGCACCACTGGGAGGAGATGGTAGAGGAAGAGGAGGAGGAAAAAGACCCACAGAAAGAGAGTGCCAAGCAAAAGAAAGCAACAAAGAAGGTATGTAATTAGTTTGCATGTTGCCGATTCTATGTAAAGCCATCTATATAAAGTCCACACATTGTTTATCTCCCCTGCATCACTACATCTTCTTGACACTTACAATATGAAATGTGTAATTTTAAAGTCATAAAGATCTTCTCTCCAGTGTGACCTTCAAACATTAAACTTTGTACCACAGCTTCGTCTCTAGGTCCCTGGATGTACATTTTCTTTGTCCTACACTTTCAATCCCTTTTTTTTTGTGTGAGCTCATTAGTCTGAGTGTATACATAGGTAGGTGTAACACTCACAGTCCATGGCCATGCCCACTGCAATACACTTCTTGAAGCGGCAGAGCTGACACTGGTTGCGGGTAATCTTGTCGATGATGCAGCAGCCATCGTACTTACAGGAGTAGGAGGGGTGGAGGTTCTTTTGAATGGTCCTACGGAAGAAACCCTGGAGACAGACAGTGAGGGAGAGATGGATGGACGGTCGGTTTGTAGACAAAGGAGAGGAATGTACAGAGAGGCACATACAGAGAGGGTAAAAGGGACATGGTAAAAGTGAGAGGGTGAATGAGAGTTGAAGACAGGAGACAAAGAGAAAAGATTGACAGTAAAGAATCAAAGCGTTCAGTCTACCGCAACACATTGCAGTTTGTTACAGGGACATTTTTATCTACCACTACAAAACTTGTTCTAATAACTCTGCGAATCTGAGGCAATTTATTATAAATGTTAACATCCAAGTATTGTAATAGCGTAGGAGTGAGTCGAACAAATCATAGCTAAAAAAGTAGTCATATACATAAAATAAGCCTCAATTTTACAATTGTATCATTAGCTTAAGTATTATTATAAGTATAAAAATATTATAAGTATTATTTTCCTGAGTGAAGAAATCCATGCAGTATTGACAGCACATAGATTGAGAAGTTCAATAATTAGCACGACTCTGATGCCTTTAATTGGAGGCCTGATCAATCATACGTCAAATGCATCATTGGCCACAAAGCTTATTAACAATCCTTTCATTGGTGCCTTAGATATCACATGTCATTGATGAACAAAGATGAAGGGAAGGAACAGAAGCAGACTGATCATACGACCGGCTGACAGCGAGGAAGACAAATGATACAAGACTGAGAGCTGACGTGACAGACTGACAGGTTCTGTACAAACATGTCAATACATCATCTTTCTGCGGCTGAACACAATGTACTAACTTTGAAGTAAGTGTTTCAGAGGGGGTGTGTGCATGAGCGTGTGTCAGATATGTAGCTGTGTGTGTAGAAGCAGTTGACCTCAGAGGCCTCATATCAGGTTTTATGGAAGATATTATGAATCTGGTGTGTCTGAAACCTGGGATTGTGTGTGTGTGTGTGTGTGTGTGGGTGTGTGTGTACCTTGCAGCCCTCGCAGGTAATGCAGCGATAGTGGTAACCTGTGGCCTTGTCACCACACACCACACATGGCTCATCCTTTTCGAGGTAGCTGGGGATGTACCCTGAGAGAGAAGCAGAGGCAAAGACAAAGTTAGACAGAATATGTATTTTACCTAGCAGACACACCCCACCCAATACACCCCTACACATTGCTTCTACTCATCACCACTGCAGCGAGGTTGGAGACCGAACCCAGCTGCTTTCTGCTCATTCACTTATACTGTGAAGAAACTTAACAGTAGCCATCCACTGTTTTTATGCTGTACCATAAACACAATGGAAGTTAAAATAATGAGCTTCCCGACTCTCTCTAGGCATTTTCATTATTGGCCAAGGATAGGCTTTCAGATAACATACAATATGTGAATCTTCTGAAGTAAGAAAGTAAAAGCACAGAGAGCTAGAAAGGAGCACCAAGTTAGCGCCGGTGGTGTTCCCATTGTTCGATTACTGTGAACATAACATTAACATTTATGTTAACAGTTCTCAACAGTTAATCCAGCAACAGTACAGCAGCATCTGACTTGCAGGGCAGCACAATCAATACTTCTGTAACAAGGTGAAAGGGATCCTGTAGAAGCGCAATGTTTTGCACTTTGATGATGCACTGCAGACAGTTGGTGGCAGTAATGCGCCAAGAAATGCAGCAATGCACCACAAAGTCAGTGAAGAAGAAGGAGACCACTAGCAAACCTGGATGTAATGCATGGTTTTAAATATTTAAAAAAGGAAAATGCATTCAACATACTTCTCCAGCCTCAAGGATACAAAACATTACTTTTTTGGTGGGAAGCACTGAATGTAAACAGCTTTTGTTTGTTTACTAGAAACCTCCACAGGGCATCTTTAAAGGTGCATGGCAACACAGGATGATTCAGGAATATTCCAGATACCTTTAGTAAATTCTACCACACACACACACAATGGCTCTGGTCCCAGACAGGACAACCACTGCAACTGCCTCACCCTCTTTTACTTTAACATTCATTTACAAGTAGAATCTGTGATCCACCCAACACCCACCCTCTCTAATTACTCTCCTATTGATTGGCATGTCTTTTAATAGACAACTAACACTAAAACTACAACTACATGTAAAAGGTTGATAATATATTATGCTTGTAAACTTTAACTGAAGTATATATTTTGAATTATGACTGGTTTTACATTACAGTTTTAATGTTATTATAAGTGGATTTTAACCGAACAGAAGTTGTTACAGTTATAAGGTATGTAGGTTACATAAACTTTATTCAATTCAATTCAATTCAAAATACTCATCCCTCAAGGGGCAATTCAAGGCAAGCAAGTGTGCAAACAGAAGCACACACAAGTTAGTGATCTATGTTTACAGTATTTGTGTTCTCTCTGTACTCTTCTTCCCCCTCTGGAGCCTTTCGTCTGCGTTAAACTCAGGAATAGGACACTTTGTTCTTTTTCTATATAGCCTGCAACACCAGTGAGAGTGAGGGAGGGAGCACACAGACACAGGAAATAGCAGATTTCCAGACATTTCTTATAATGTATAGCTCAGAAACCGGGTGGGGAGGAGATGGTACACTGCAAGTCACAAATAAATACACAAATGTGGGTGTTTAAGTCTGAACACCCACAAATAGACACTGGCAGATCTTTTTACTCTGTACATACGTGTGTGACGTTTGTATGACATATACAGTATGCTTGTGTGTGTGTGTATACCAAGGCGTGGTAAGAGCTGTGACTGGCAGTGTCAGTTGGGCTCTGCCTTTTGGCTTTGTTTCAGATTTTAAAGGAGGGGGGGCAAGAAGAGGAAGGTGGGAAGGAGAGAAAAAAGAGAAGAAGGAGAGACTAGAGAGAGTGCCAAAGGGGCACGAGTGGAATTTTGGCCAAATTGGTTTTTATATACTGTTGAAGAGCTCAAGCTCTTTCTGCTGATAAGAAAAATCCTTTTGGAATCAAAATACAAATTTAGATAGAGGGATAAAAGCAAAGCACTCAAGTGAAAAGGTATAAGAAATATCGAGAGAGAAAGCGCACAAGTGCATTTTCTAATAAAAAGTAGTAAAAGAGTGAAACTCAACCCTTCTGAGAGGGATAAAGAAAAAGAGGGATCCAGAAGACAACAATAAAATAATAAAAAACTAAATGGAAGAGGACGTAAGAGGAGAAGAGATGGAAAAGTGGGAGTAAGAGTAAGGAGAAGAGAAACGAGCCAAAGGAAAGATAACAAGGACATTAGAGAATGATCATATAGGAAAAATGTCAGCTCCAGAGTGTTGGCAAGGCGAGCAGCAGCAGCCGGATCCCCGAGCCAGCCTGCTGTGGCTGTGTTTGGAAGCCAAGCCCAAAATCAATACTGCTGCGGCTCTCTGGCTCTGGCTACCCGACCCTCCCATAATGGGCCCTGCAATACCTCCACCAACAAAACCCAGGAAAGGGAAGGAGGTTTTTCTAGTGTGGCTGAGTCAAGATAAATATTTTGTCTTCACAAGTTTCCCAACATAACATCTGCCATTTTGTTTTATCAATGCGTGTGGATCAGGGTGGTATGAATCAGGTCCCTGAAGGAGTCTCAGGATTGTTTCTCTGAGGTCCTTACATGACAACAGCACAGTGAGGTGAAATTTGAGAAAGTAAACAGTGAGGCCATCAGCAGACAAGACACTATACACTGGTGTTGGAACAACAGCTGTTATATGAAATCTAGTGTGGTCACTACTGTTGTGCTTATTGTCCCTTTGCTCATCTATTACTATAAAAAGGGTTAAAGGTCCAGTTCGTAACATTTAGGAGATCTATTGGCAGAAATGGAATATAATATTCATAGGTATGTTTTCATCGGTGTATGACCACCTAAAAATAAGTACTGTGCTTTTGTTACCTTAGAATGAGCTTTATCTACAGAATGGACTCTCCCCAGAAGGGACAAACCAAACACTGACTCTAAATAGGGCCTCTTGCATTTTTCCTGAGTTTCCTATACCCTTTACAGCACGTTCTCATTCTCATACATTCTCATTCTAAGCCAGCAGTGTTCAGTTAGTTGCCACTAAATTCTACTCTAAACAGTTGCCTATTTAAGACAGCGCAAAATTAGCATTGATTCGAAGTTATGTTTCTTGTCACCTGACAAATGTAAGTTCAATTTTCACTCTCCATTTAGCTCTGTTTTGGTTTCCACCAACTCCCGAGTTAGATATCTGGCTGATATCCACTGTGTTCACATGCTAGTTGCTAAATTTGTCTGTCTATGTAAGTATACAGTGACCCCTTTCATATTACACATAATGATTTGATCCATTGTTGATTGAAAAATATGGATTAGTGCAACTTCAAAATTGTCAAATAATCTTCTATCTGTAAACTCACTCAATTCACAACTCACTTCAACTTTAGAACTGATGACAAAATAAATTGCCTTTTTAATTCAAATAATATATATATATATATTATTATATTATATGTAGCCTTATCTCACTTTGTTAAAACCTTTCAGAATATATATAGAATATATATATATATATATTTATTTATTTTTATTTTAAGAAAGTTTATTACCAAGTATGCCTCTTTACTAAATTAGGATTATGAGCAGTTAATGTGCTGGGTTAACTCTATAACAGTGGATCCACATCCTGCTGTGTGTGTTCTTTAGACCAGGTCAAAACACTGACCAATATCAATGCACATGTTAGACAAATACTCCTTAGTGTCCTGAAAGACTGGTTGAGGGTCCACTCTCCCACAGGAAAAAGCTGTGTATGTAATTCGATCTCAGACAACCATGTCCCTCAGGCAGACATATTGTCATATTTTCTCAGCTGAAATGGACCATGGCAGGTAGAATATGGTACAAGATTCCAGCAGTGATGCAGAGAGGCAGGCAACAAGCCTGCTGGGAGGGAAAACATGTGGTGAGTACTGGCCTGGGAGTTAGATTTTACAAATGCCAAATCAACTATCCTGTAGAGTCAGATTTTTATGTTGGTGTTCCTCTCAGCCTATCTCATTCAATATCTCTCTCTTCCCTTTCTCTAGGCTCGGGGGATTTGAAGCTGTCAGTCAGACATCGTGCTGTATCCGACAAGAAAGAAGACAAAGCAGAAGGCTTTTTGTTTATTGATGACAGTTGCCAAGATGTTTTACTTTTTCTTTGGAGGTGACAAACCGAAAGCGTAATGTGCCCAAGCCAGCAATGAATCATGTACCACTAGCGTCTGTGCAGTCACTCAGCTGCCTGTATTCACTGCGGTGAGACTGACAGCTACAATCTTCCTTTTCTAAAGAAGAATCCAAAAATGTATCAAACAGAGCTGAACAAAATGCTGGGAAAGTGATTTTCAAAATAGCTGGTTTCCTGCATTTGGAGAGCTTTTATTCTCTAAGGGAGAGGTGTATTTTGAAGAGACTTAAAAATTCAGGTGGAGGTTTGTTTCCCACTTCAGAGCTGCTTTTTATCTCCATCATAACACCAACCGTGAGTTACTCACCAGTCATACTCTTCACCGAACATTGGCTGTTCTTCCTCTTCCTTTTCGGGCCATTGAGCCACCTGAGAGGGACAAAAGTGAAAGAAGAGAGAAAAAGAAAGAGACATAAGTAAAAGTGCATGTAAATATACTATACCTTTCTATATTTGGATGCTTTGTAATCTGAACTGGACTGGCCAGAGTCCATCTGGAATTGTTCCAGCTTGTGATCAGATCTCAGTCAGGTGTGAAAGTAGTTTGTACAGTTTGGCCACATTTGAAAGAGAAAAAATTGCTCAACAAGTTGAAAGGTCAAATAATTCCACCTCTTCCTGCTATCTCAAATTGCCCAGCAAATAGCTCCAGACAAATGCTTCCTCTGCAAAGAACATAGTACATCCCACAGAACAGCAGAGGTTCCCCTTTGAGGCATGTTTGTTGACATCCATCAGAGGCCTGTGATTAGATGTCATTTTCCAGTTATTGTATCAAGGTAAAAATCAAATGTAAATATCAAGTGTAAATAGGGTATATGAGGACATACAACAATGAACTAAATAGTAAGTTAGGAATAATATGAAGAAGCAGTACAAATTTAGATGTCGTAAGCTCATAAAGAAACCTAACAGACTGAAATTCTGTATCCTTGTACCAGCAAACCATCTGGTACTCCAATTAGGTTAAAAAGAGGAGCATAGTTTGCCACTTTAATTTCTAACAGAGGAGTAATTGAGCTCTTTAGACTAACAAGTAAAGTTCAAGTTCTTTATTGCCATATGCACAAATACAAGAAAGCAGTTGCTTGCAATGAAATTCTAAGCTCTCAGGCTCCCTTTAACGGTGCTCTTAAACTCTCTTATATGTAAAAAGAAGAAATGTGTAAGGGAACAAAATCTCATTAGAGTTTAGCACATACAATAATGCATCAGCTGAAATATAGGAATACAATATAACTGTAATAAAACTGTGGTAGGCAGGTGAGTAATGTTATGTATTATGGATAATGTGTATAAGTAAAGGTTTAATCATAAGCACTAGTACAGTTTCCTGTGACATAGTGCTTATGACTAGGGAGCATTTGTGGCAACAAATGGTTGTACTTGGCAGAAAAAACTCCAGGGTTCTCCCACACTAAATCCCAGCAGCAGGAAAACAATTTTATGGGGAATACAATTAATCCCCCAAAACAACTCTAATTATCAAAGAACACATGGGAAAGGCCCACAGTACTGGATGAAGCACAAAGACAGCAACGCTCATATGGATCAAGGACAGCAACACGCTCGACAAGCATGTGCACTCAGAAACACACCTGCAACCACGCTGACACATGTGAAAGGCATGTAAAGCACGGATGGGAACTGGCTGCTCTAAAGGGAATTATGAAAGCACACATATGGAGCAGGGAGAGAGTTAAGTACAGGGGAAAGAAACATTTCTGAAAGGAAAGTATGGGAGAGAGTCAGTGAGTGCTCCTTGTCAGTGCTGGATGTGTTCAGAATCCCAAGAGTCGAGCTCTCAGCTCTCAGACACTCCTGATAGCCTCCAGCCCCACTCTCACACCAGGGCCCTTTAATACCAGCTCCAGAAGAGGGAGCAGGACTCCATTAGCATCATAAGTAAAAGGAGGTCCACACTCTCTTAAGATGCAATACACAAGCCTACAGTTACATTCACTCTGAAGGAGTTGTATTACAGTATGTCCTTTAGTATGTTCTTTATCTGCTTTTGTCTCATTAATGTTTTTTTGTGGATTTTCTTTCCTTTCATCAAAGGTCTATGGATAGAGGGTTATTTTGGGGTTTGGGCTATAAATATATACATAAGTACTTGAATGAGAACACTTTAATATATATAAAATGCCATTTTTTTTTCTTTTACGGGGTAGAGAAGGGGGGGTGGCGAAAAGGTTAAAACAGTATCTTAGTATTGAAAATGTCAATTACCAACATTGTGACAGGGTGGAAAATAATTAATTAAAACTCCACTGTTCATCGTTCGTTCCTCCAAAGCTCCCTGTCTACAACAATGAATTAATAAAAATGTTAAAAAGTATATCAAAAACAAACAAGATGTGTTTAAATGAAACACATATAAACCAAAATAAATGATGTGTAAAATCTCCCTCCTTAATGAATTATTGCCTCCAAACGTGCAAAATGGCTGTTTTATGCTATCACACCCCTCCTTGTCATTTTTATTACGAACGGGTAATTACACAAGATGTGTGTAGCTGGAGATCAATATTTATCAAAAAGACATTGTCCTAATGTCCCTGATGCTGTCTCACCACTGCTCACAATTTGCTTTAATAGTTCCGAGCTCGCAGCAGCTCCTTCATTTCTGTTGCATGGTGGGAAAACTCACTCTGGATGTATTTATGCTCACTGACATCTGTGATCATATTCTGATTTGTCACTTTAGAATATGTAATGTGGAACTGGGATGCAGTGATGGATTTTGATGGAAACGGCACTCAGTTTTGTGAAGAGACTTTTTTCTTCTCCCACATTGTTGATTATTTTCACTTTCATCAGGAAGTCTCTCAGTCTGTTATTTGCTTACATGTAGAGACACAACCTAATAAAGACCTTTACCAGACTCACTCATGAAAACATATTTTTTTTCTATGGATTCTAATGAGAAGATTTTATGCAAAGTGACTCGTCTGTTCCCTCTTATTGATCAGAAGGGTCTCATAGACCACTGCAGATTGTCTAACCTCTCTTATAAGCCGGTATGTTTTTATATTTCAAACCAGCTAACAATGTTTGCCCCCCTTGGAAACCTAACAATATAAATGCCTGTTAAGATCAGGAGTTGCTGTAATTGAGACTAAATGCCAACTTAAACTACCCTTCATATTTTACCTTGGCCTCAATTATAGCAACGTCTTGTTCTCAGTTATGGTTCCCTTTAGCCTTTTCAGAACACATCAGATGGGTTAACAGGGCATTAAATTAAGCTATTACAGTATATTGCCTACTGAGTTACATCTTGATTTATTGTGATTGTTGTTCCTATAGCATCTTATTAGAAACTAACCCAATTTAAAAAAAATGTATGTTCCTGTCACGGTGGGATGTGGGAGGAGAATTGAGGACAACCGACAAGACAACTATCTCCAGAAGCTGGACGAGTGAGGATGCCCACCTGTGAAGCAACACCTCACAGCATACAACAACAGCAAAGGTTGCAATCTGAGAACCTTTTGAGCATGGCCGATGATTTTGATTCACTTTGTAGGTAAAGGTAAGTGTCAGTAAGCTGAGAAACATAATTAAAGCTGTCACAGCAGCAGGAAGACAAGGCAGGGTTTGTGTCACTCAAACGTAAATGTCGGTCCTTGTGCCAGTTGGCTTCCACGACACAACATACAGCTGCTGGAGGCGACAACCATCAAACTGTCAGCTATGTGACAGTTCAGTCCTCCCATGTGGCAGCATGTTGTGTAAAGATGGAAATAGGCAAACTGAATAAGCAGATACTCTTTATTCAGGTCTCTCTCACTCCTGACAACTACGCCTTCTCTGCATTTCCTCACTGAGATCCTGCATTTAACAACAGGTCCCTTATAACCTAAGATGCCACAACCTGCCACACGTTAAGCTTTGTCTTCAGCTGAGCAGAGATTAACTAACAGCCAGAGAACTGGCACAGCAGTGACACAATAACGAAATGATAATATAAACCAATGCACTCCGAATAATCTCCAGCTCTAACCTTGTATTAAGATCTGATCAATCCCAAAATAGCATTAATGAAAATAAACATGGCCTTGCAGCTAAAAAAAGAGCTTAGCACTCTTGGCAGAGCCTCAGAAGTGCTTTTCATTGCTCTAAGAGCTCTCAGTGGAAAGATTTAGAGAGAAATGGTGTCAAGTGGCTCTAAGAAGCAAGCAAAAAGAAAAGAAAACAAAAAATTACTAGAGAAAATATAGCCCAGTGTGAAAGTGCCCATCTGGTTAGATATAATGCAGGAGGAAGCATCTTAAACAATAATTAGCTTCTCTAACATGAAGGTTTGAAGCACTACTCTAGACAAACATCAGAACAAACGAACAAAAGGGAAATTTGATTTGGGGGCTTATGCAAATAAGCAGGCAGCCTGACCGGATTCCAAATTGTGTCACACAGCTGGTGAACGTGTGCGCAAACACAATCATGTCGGTTGATAACGGATAAAAACGTAGCGCACGATAGAGTATTTTTTGATGGAAAGCAAGTTTTTGCAGGTCGGGGCATGATGCTGTGTGCTGCACAGGCATACCACAGAACACTTTTCAGTTTCCAACTGCTAAACTCTGACTGGATACGGATTGCAACACACCTCTAAATATCCAAGGTCCCTCACACTGTGCCTCTCAGCAACCTGAGCCAACCCCACAGAAACATGCCCACTGTAATTTCTCTCCAGCACACACACACACTCAGTATGAAACTTAAGTTGACTTGTTAGGAGCAACCGTTTGATTCCTATGGCCAAATGGCTGTGTGGAACATGAACAAATGTTGCACAATTAAATGCACATATAGGCCAAAACAAATAAAGAATAGGAGAATCAACAAACAGATGACATGAAAAAGACTTACAATGCTGACCTGATGACGCAGTGGGACTGTAAAATATGCATGGCAGCAGAGGAGTACTTCTAGTTGAAGTTGCAGGTGTACTTGTTGCTACACAGCCCTCATGCATGGACTTGGTCTATCTGTGTTTCTCACTCTCTTACACCCTGATGTCTCTACCAGTTGTGCTATCTTTAGCATGTTGACCCACTCAAATGCATTCTGCCTCTCCCTCCCTCCCTCCCTCTTCTCCAATCTGTGGGACTTTCTTGCTCTGCTGGTAGTACCACCCAGCCTACCCTGATTGGAGGACAGCCGGTGTCTCCACCTGTGGCTTTGACATTGTCTGCGGGGTGCGTCAAACAGGTAATTGCTGGGCTGTCAGCTAACTGAGCACACTTGACGACTTGAAGACAGTGCAGGTTTCATAAACGCTCCAGCAATATGCTATTAGGAGAATACACCAGATAATTTGCCCTAAGTTGGCACACAATATGTTTCCTCAACAAATCCCATAAAAATATCAAAACCAACATGTGTTTAACCTTTTTTTATATTCTTTTATTTTTATATTTAGCGAGACAAAGCAAACAGAAGGGCAAAACATACATTGCAACATACATACAATACAAATATAAAAAAAGGGTTTTCCTGGGAGAGGTGGTTAGCAGTGTCCCAGGTTCACAAATATATACTTTCATTTAAAAAAAAGGGCCCAGTCATTTCCTCCTAAAGCTGGTCCCTGTATTTTATATCAAATGTTACTCAATGAGTTACTTTATTGGGGACTATATTCAGATGTGACTGAATACACGTGTGTTGGACTGAATCAAAATAATGCAGTGTGTGTTCATGGTAATGAAGGAACGTGTCGCTCAGAGTGACTCACTGATGTGTTTTTAATAGTTTTTGCACAACAATGGGGCTCTCTGGTGCAGAAGAATACTGTAAGATTTATCAGGCTTTGATACACACACAATACTATACTTGTTAGCTGGGTTGATTAATAGGTCGAGTTGGTTTTGGTCTTTTAATGGGAATTGTTGAAAAATATGGAATATTGCTAGCCTTAACCCTTGAAGGCAAGTTCACTGAGGTAAGTGAGAAAATATGTTTATTGTTTTCTGGCTGAACAGACCTTTTAGGTCATTAATGGAAGACTAAGAAGCACCTGCTTTGAAACTCTTCCTCCTTAGACAATACAAAGACATTCAGAATACAGAATTATATCCATAACAGCATCTGAATGAGGCCCCCTGTCCTGTGTTTAGTGGGCCACAGTAGCCTATTGTTTAACATGCATGGTACAGGCCTATAGCTGGGTCTGTCCCGTCCTATACATCCAGTGCTAATGGACACTTTGTTCCCTCATGTGTCCCGCCACTGTCTAAATTACAGGCTGAGCTACAAGGGGATATCGCATGCCACTAAGTCAAGACAACTCCCTCTGTCCAAATACCCAAGTATACAGCAACCCACACATGACCAATAATAAACATGGAGCTAAATCTGCAAATATATACAGCTTGGTACATCCTGTACAACAGAATTTAAAATTAGGACTGTATAGACTAAATTACTACATTAAGTCTGCATTTAGCTGCATTTGTTTCACATTCCCAATGCAAATCCTGTGTGCGTTTTGCTATGAATTGCATTCTATTCTATAACTGGACAACCATTGTAGAGTTTGTTTTTATTGTCTTAGAAAGAGTCCTTTTTATCTATAAAGGGAGAGGGTCAGGGGAGAAATCAGCTTTAATTTGTTACCATCAAAATCAACAGTTTTCAGTAAATGTTGCCACAGCTGTTAGGACTGCCGTTGAGATTCCTGCAGCAGAACACTGAAATTGGCAGTGTTTCGGTCAATTACTCTGATTAGGTGACTGACACTGACACACATACAAAATCCTGCCAGTAATCGGCTGCTTCTCTTTCACATTAGTGGAAATTGTTGATTTAGATTTAACCAGAGGTACATTTTCATGTTAACTAAGGTTGCGGTGATCTGAGGGAGGTGAAGATGTGGTTAAAGGATCAAAATGTGTGAAAATAATCACCAGTTCTCCAACAACATTACTTTTCAAATATTAAGAGTACCATGCAACAAGTGTTATGCCATCTAATACACATAAATAAATTAACACAATAGTCTACTAAGAAGTGTTTTCATGTTATGGGTTTATGTATGCACCTAACACATACTGTGCAGACACACCCATACACAGCATAGAGCCTATATTAACTAAACTATACACCTTCATCAACTTACAGAAATACCGGTATGTACAGTAACTCCCATTCTATTCAACCTGATGGCATTCATTGAGTTTCAAAGCCCAACTTAGTATATAAATACCTAACAGACAAAAAAACTGTTATGTAAGAAGTCATAAAATCCATAGCAAGAGTTTATTAACAAGGACTCAAACCCAGGCATGACAGGACATCCTGTCATCACGTCCAGGGGAAGGAAAAGCTGAATCTTGTTTACTACAAACATGCACTGTAGCATGGCAGGGGAAAGAATCTGATCAACACAGAGACAAGGGCTGTGGCAAGTCTGTAAGGAAGGAAACACAGCGACGCCTGACCGACTTTTATGTCACAGGAGAACAAAGTAATGTTACATTTTAGATACATATGTGGCTAGGAAAAAGATATTTTCTCCCAGTGTGTCGAGATGCAAATTATTAGATAGTTCTGTCCCTCTACATGTGTGAATTTATGTATGGTAGATTTATCTTTCCTCTCTCTGGGTGCACAAACAAGTTTGAGTCTGTTCCCTGATACAGATACTCGGAGTTATTATCACCCATCTCATGCTTTTTACAGCTGAGTAAAACAGCTCATACCTGTGGTGAAAGAAATTCTGATGAGCACTGATATCATGTCTAACATGGTAAAAAAAAGGAAAGTGGGAGCAACAGAGAAATAATGTAAAAATGCAACAAGTTACTAAATCAGTAGAATCACTTATTGTCACTAAGTTTATCTGTGTAGTCCTGAAAGAAAAGCTGCTCCAGTCTCACAGTTGCTTGACTGGAGGGTCTCAGATCAGTGGATGAAAACTGGCCTCCTGAACAACAAAGATTCATGGTTGTAGAAACAATGAAACACTATGGCGCAAGTCTTTGGCTCTGTTAATGCAACACATTGCAAGCGACCTTGCATCAGCTGTGGTGACATGCCAGTAGAAGTGAGGCAAGCTGCACCTAAATATCCACATCTGAACTAAATCCAGCATGGCATAAAGAATTTATGCATCCTAATGAGCCATCAAGCCTAAATATGAAGCAAATTCACACAAAATAGCATCAAACTTTCCTGTTTTAGCAGCTCAAAAACATAAATAAGGAAGTGATTGTGCTAAATGAAATGTGATATGTTAAATATATAACATTATTTTAATGTTTGATTGTCAAAGAATCTGTCAAATTTATGTTAGCGCATATCTCCGATCCATAGGTACAGATGTTCCACTCTCTGTCTGCATGTTGGTAACCATAGCATCACTTCAAAAAGTTAGCTGAAGGAATCTATCCAGGCTCCGCTGGCTTGACTTTCTTAACACAAGTTTGTAATGTGCCACATGGAGACACAAGGGAGGGGAATCGGATGTTGCATTCTAGGCAGCAAGCTGGTCCTTCCACATGGTCATAATAACATACACTCATATTGCTGTTATCGCATATAAGTTTAATTGTAGGGACATTTTAAAAAGATTTTAGAGTGGAAAAGTTCAGGAGGTTCTGGAGATCAGGAGTCATCCAAACACATGAGATCAATAGCCTATGGCTAGTGCTGCCTTCACGTGCTCTTCTTATCCTCTTACTTCATCATCTGACAGTGCTAAATACTATATGTCATAAACTGAACTGCTTTTCTTTAACTAAATAATCAGACAATAAACCTGCTAAAATGTTTCTCTTTTGACTGCATGATTGTCCATAATGCAAACACTTTTTATTTTAATAACTGTATTAGCAAAAAGGAAATTTGTTTCAGCAATGTAAATATATGTTTGGCAAAATGCTGCCTGCAGTGTTTACTTCCTCACATACAAAGTGAAAACATGTTCTGATTAAACAGAAGCTTCTGTGAATTTCCTACACTTATTTTCTGAAGACACAATCACCGACCCGTATTTATACTTCAAAACACATGCTGTGGAAGCGACAAGTCATCAGCATTACAACTTCACGTGTTCCCAGACAGAGAGGTTAACCTAATAATTTATCTTTAAAGGAAATAAGGTCCCCTAAAATTATCACAGAATTTTGTAAATTAACTGAACTCCTGTCTCAAAACCAAAGCAGATTGATATTGACTGATAACCTTTTCCTTTACCCAGAGGCCTGTTCCACATGGAGGCCCCCTTCCTCTAGCAACAGCACTATGAGAGAGGCTCCATTCCACTAATATTATGTTTTCATTAATGAGAAGGGGCTTAAACAGTGCTGTGTTTGTTTGTGTTCGGGCCGGTCTGACTGGCTCTGCTTCTCAAGAAATGAAGGGGGTGGAGCGCCGGGGGTCAGATGTAGCTATAGGCCCAGTTCGCTGAAAACAATTCAGACGAGAGGAAGAGAGTGGCGGGGAGGAAAAAGAGGCCACGTTGTTTAGCTTGTCTGGGGAAAAAAAAAGGCCCAGAGACTTAAAAACAGAGAGCACAATGAGAAAGATTTAGACGATAAAAGAGAGATGGGAAAATAAAGATTCCCTTTTGGATGTCCTCAAAAAACCTCCTCCATACATAACATTACACATCAAAAACAGCCATGCCGGCTTCACTTCAGGGATATGTTTACATCAGGACAGACAATGTAAAGGAGAAGCTGATAAAAGGCTTTTGAAAAAGAAGCAGTGGAGGATTGGATTGCCTCTAAAAGGGAAAAACATTATCCAACTCACCGTTTCTCTTCTCCCTCTGATGGGTTAGGGTCCTGCTCCTCGGGAACGTGTTCCATTCACCTTAATTCCATCCAGCAGCCAATCATGAGAGACTGAGGCAAGCCCCACCCTCGGATGCACACTTGTCATTCGCCGGTCGGGAAGGGTCAGTCAGTGAAACATGGCAGGGTCCCGTTCCTGGGGTTTGGGGAGGAAGTGGGGTCTCCAGAAGGAGTTGCCCCCCTTCGAGGCTGCTGTGACACTGCAGGATATGGAAGGTTGTTGGAGGTCCTGTTGGGGTAAATCTGCAGGCACTAGGGCCGGGGCTGGCGGTGGATGTCAGTCTCAAGGGCACGGAGGGTGGAGTGGGATCCAGCCTGGAAGAGAACAAAAGGACACAGTTAGATTACACTGTCTCTACAGACGAAACCATTCGTTTATTAGCAGAAAAAGATTATGTCGATTTGTCACTGGTGACTGGTTCTGACTTTTCAAATGTGAATATTCCGTTTTTTTTTGGTCCGCTATGATAGTAAACTAAATATCAGTTGGGACCGTTGGATGGACAAAACAAGACACTTGCACTGAGAAGGCACTCGTTGCCGCCCTAACTGTCTCTATCATAAAAAAAGTCATGCTATCACTTCATTTTTGTAAAGAATTAATCAAGGTCTCGTCAACAACATGAGAGTCTTAGAAATATATTTTAAAGATTCAGGCATTCTCTAAAAGGGTTTTAGGGACGAAGCTGCCAACCTATTCATCAATTCAATTCAGTTTTATTTGTATAGCGCCAATTCATAACAAAAGTTATCTCATGACACTTAATAGAGCAGGTCTAGACTGTACTCCTTATAAATTATTTACAGAGACCCA